ATCATTCCAGAAGCAAGTAATTTCCTCTAAGAAGTGAACATGCTTTTTAGCCCCATCGCTGTTAAGCGTTTTGGGAGACATGGAGACATGTGCCTTAAGCTTAGCCTTGAGATCTGCAATGATGTCCTTGTGATTTTTACACTTGAATCCGCTTGTCCCTCTTTCTGAGGCAGGACACAGGATGTGAACTTGTGCAGCGGGAATCCTGTGATTTCAAAAGAACATATGGCACAACAACCAGCAAAAGTATACATGGCATTTGTCATTGGTTTGATGTGGTCAGATTGAATTTGTCTCTGGCAAAAAGCCCTTAAATCGATGTACTTAAAAAGATGTCAAGGTGAGAACAAAAGATGATCTGAAAAGCTCTTACACTGTTTTTGGAAACATTCAAATAAATTGCATTATAATAAAATCAACAATTGCTGGTTTTAACACCCCCCCTTCATCAATAAGAGTATAAGCAAAATATTCAGTGTAACCAAATACAGAGATTCAATTGTCCAAAAACTATCTTTGTTTCAACTGAAATGGACAACATACAAATAAACAAATCAAATTAGTTACATGATATATCAATGAAAATGTTTGTACTTAGGCAAAAGTGAGAAATACTAATTTACATTTGAAACTTGGTGAGATGATAGCTAAGTAATTAGGTAAACCCAAAGAAACAAAAATAAACAATAATTGGATGTAATTCACAATTATAATACAGTCAAGATGTACAGACTTAACATTATATGAGGCAGTATCAGACAGATGTAGATTTGACTCTGTGTGTGAAGATCAAATGGTAGTATGTGTGTCTGCATTTAGCTGTGGCTATGTGTCAGTGTAATCATGCTCCAAACAAAGGCGAGCAAGTTTTACAATTGTGATGCAAATTTGGCCCTGTTGTAACAGGGAGCCAGCCTGAGAATGTGAGGTATGAGGTGTGATCTGGCTCAAAATACTTCCATACCAATGTTTTTTGTTAAGGAGCATGATAAAGTGCAAAGTTCAGAGCTGAATCCTGTTGTGAGGAAAGCATTTTCATTGTTAAGACAATTGTGAATCACACTGTGGCCACATGGCAATTCTATGCTCCTGTACATGGCTTAACTGCAGCTATATGGAAAATAGCAGAGTGTACCACTCAGGAGACAAACAAATTCAACATAGACACACATGCAACTTGAAATCGCTATGTAATTCCAGTATTACAGTTATTCCAATTTTACACAAGACACATGGTCTAGTATGCATGTAGCATCTACAACCTTTAACCTAAGTGTTTCACACACTTACAGTAAAGCAGTCATGTGTTTTTTTAAAGAATAAACCCAAATAGTCTATGTGTACATGTAGTAGCACAAACAACTATACTATGTGTTCTATGTGCACAATGTTTTAAGCACAATTACAAATTTGAAAATACAAACAGCATAACTGAAATTTGGATGTTTACATATTAAACTCATTGCTATTAAGCTGCTAACCCACTAGCAAGTGAAGTCAATAGCTGGAGGCCTTGCATGAACAATGCAGTCAACTCACTAAGAGTTTTACCTGCAAATGAGCATTGATATCTGCCTTTAGAAAGGGGTTTCCTATCTTTCTGAAAATAAGGTGGAAGTCTACCCCTACCCAGTGACCAGCATGTTTCCTCTGTATGGCCTTTTTTTTTACAGGAACGACAAAACCTGCTATCTTTGCCACAGGGTTGTTTGCTGTGTTCTCCTGAAGTTTGAGGATTTTCATGACTCTCTAATGTTTCCTTTACACCATGCGTTCTGGTCCACGACTCTGAACTGAAATCGGCACACTTTTTTGAGCAGTAGCACATGCTTGCTCT